CTAAGATGTTTAACTTTCCAAAGATCGACCTTGGTTTTCTAGTTCCTCTTCTTGTCTGCCCGATCATGTCCTAGGGTCCATTTTAAATACTTCCGCTGTATTCTCAGGTTCCTGAGCAGAGTCTTAATCGCTTCTCCCAGTGAATATTACGTTACCTCGCATAGATCTGCAGAGTTCACCTACCATATACTCTTTCATCTGTAGCCTTTTGGTGTCCACCTACTGGTGTCTGAAGCGTCTGTACATCCTTCTGAAGATATTTCTTGTCAACAAGCTACTTACCAAACTTACCACTGACAAACTCCATACCAGATTCAGTTACCAAAACCATCTCCTTAAGAGTATCTAACTCTGCAATATTAGACTCAAGTCCAGACTTTAACATGGATGTCAAGAATGGTTTTCTCTATCGTGTCAAGTTTTGTAAGTTCAATTTTAGTTCATGCTCCATGTTTTGAAGTAAATGGATAACTGTGTTCATATTGGGGTCACTTGTTTTCTGTAGCATTGTTTAGGATTCTGACAGGGTTAGATGGTGGTCCTAGCGATGGGGAGGCGCCTGCTTGGCTACATATAGTGACATCATGGCTTCTCTCACCGCGGCTCCGATGTGTCGATGTGACGTTGCGATCGGGGTATCAGGAATACTCCCGCCAGGATGGTTTTCGGGTGTGTTAGATGGTTTCTTCTTCTTCGAACGGGGTTCATGGGTTGGTGTTTTCTTTTCAGACTTCATTTTGTTATTTACAGTGAAGGTTAAAAAGTGAAAAGATCACACTTCACAACACTACCGTGTTGCCGTGACGTCATTGATAATAGCAACAAATATTTTGGTAAAACACTCAGAAGGGTAATTCCTCAATATTTGTTTGCATCTGTACATAAACCACATTTGTGTAGTGGAATAATCACACTCTCTTTTTGAGAAATAAGACGTTTCTAACATCATATTAATTCAAAGAGCACACATTGAACCCGTAGGCATACTGAAGCGTAGTCGAATTGGCGTGGTGGCAATATGAGAATAACCCACAGTTCTTAACCGTTATGGGTGCCAGACTATATCTTTGTCCATCTTCCCGAAGCAAGAGAGTTAACTGACTTTAAAAGTCCAGTTTCCACCCTTGCCGAACTAGGCTGGAATTCTTAGGCTCGATCGTAGCGCCACCAGTGGCTATTACGAGTTATGCCTCTCCTATGGACCGATCAGATTCCACCTCTCGTATCACTCGCATGTTTTAAACAAAATGGCGGCGCCCCGTCAAGACGATCTGATCAAGATCTATATTGTGATAAAACGGATCTTACATCGCGAAGTGCATCAAATCACGTGAGCACCTTAATTAAAACATGAAAAGATATGGAAAATATTTGTGACACCAAGTTGGCGGTGCACATGTTTTGCAAATCCTGCAATCGACCGACATCTACATGACAGTTTACGAACCGAATTTCGGTTTCGTTGCGCGATTTTGATTGGACCATGCATAGACTCGTTAGTCCAGCCAAAATCTAACTCCATAATACCAGCAAAACATGTGCACCGCCAACTTGGTGTCACAAATATTTTCCATATCTTTTCATGTTTTAATTAAGGTGCTCACGTGATTTGATTCACTTCGCGATGTAAGATCCGTTTTATCACAATATAGATCTTGATCAGATCGTCTTGACGGGGCGCCGCCATTTTGTTTAAAACAAATGCGAGTGATACGAGAGGTGGAATCTGATCGGTCCATAGGAGAGGCATAACTCGTAATAGCCACTGGTGGCGCTACGATCGAGCCTAAGAATTCCAGCCTAGTCCGACAAGGGTGGAAACTGGAATTTTTAAGTCAGATAACTCTCTTGCCTCGGGAAGATGATCATTTTCTTTCTCTGTGTACACTTCACAGATATTTAATTTCGGCATGAAATAGGTCCCCGATTCTCAGTATTGAACAGGGTGTATGGTGTTTTTTTTATAGTTGGTGGATAAAGCCAGAAAGAATGAAAGGCTACAGTGAAGAAACAATTTGAGACATCAAATACAGTACTCGCCCATTATTGATAACATCCCCATAACACAATACAATAATGACGCATTTGAGACACCATCCCACGTGGTATAACCCAATACAGTAATGACGCATTTGAGACACCACCCCATGTGGTATAACCCGATACAATAATGACGCATTTGAGACACCACCCCATGTGGTATAACCCAATACAATAATGACGCATTTGAGACACCATCCCACGTGGTATAACCCAATACAGTAATGACGCATTTGAGACACCACCCCATGTGGTATAACCCAATACAATAATGACGCATTTGAGACACCACCCTGCGTGTTATAACCCAATACAATAATGACGCATTTGAGACACCATCCCACGTGGTATAACCCAATACAGTAATGACGCATTTGAGACACCACCCAATGTGGTATAACCCGATACAATAATGACGCATTTGAGACACCACCCCATGTGGTATAACCCAATACAATAATGACGCATTTGAGACACCATCCCACGTGGTATAACCCAATACAATAATGACGCATTTGAGACACCACCCCATGTGGTATAACCCGATACAATAATGACGCATTTGAGACACCATCCCACGTGGTATAACCCAATACAATAATGACGCATTTGAGACACCATCTCACGTGGTATAACCCAATACAATAATGACGCATTTGAGACACCACCCCATGTGGTATAACCCAATACAATAATGACGCATTTGAGACACCACCCCATGTGGTATAACCCAATACAATAATGACGCATTTGAGACACCATCCCACGTGGTATAACCCAATACAGTAATGACGCATTTGAGACACCACCCCATGTGGTATAACCCGATACAATAATGACGCATTTGAGACACCATCCCACGTGGTATAACCCAATACAATAATGACGCATTTGAGACACCATCCCACGTGGTATAACCCAATACAATAATGACGCATTTGAGACACCACCCCATGTGGTATAACCCGATACAATAATGACGCATTTGAGACACCACCCCATGTGGTATAACCCAATACAATAATGACGCATTTGAGACACCATCCCACGTGGTATAACCCAATACAATAATGACACATTTCAGACACCATCCCACGCGTTGTAACCCAATACAATAATGACGCATTTGAGACACCACCCCATGTGGTATAACCCGATACAATAATGACACATTTGAGACACCATCCCACGTGGTATAACCCAATACAGTAATGACGCATTTGAGACACCATCCCACGCGTTATAACCCAATACAATAATGACGCATTTGAGACACCACCCCATGTGGTATAACCCGATACAATAATGACGCATTTGAGACACCACCCTGCGTGTTATAACCCAATACAATAATGACACATTTGAGACACCGCTCCACGTGTTATAACCCAATACAACAATGACGAATTTGAGACCCGGCCCAAGGTGTTATAACCCAATACAATAATGATGCATTTGAGACACTGCTCCACGTGTTGTAACCCAATCCAATAATGACGCATTTGAGACACCGCCCAACGTGGTATAACTCAATACAACAAGAACGCACTTGAGACACCATCCCGCGTGTTTTAACGCAATACAATGTTGATGTGTTTCAGGCACTAACATAGGTGTTACAAACCAATACACTAATGACTGAGTCGAAGGTAACTGAAGTTGAAGGCAAACTGAAATATTTCTATTCCTTCAAATGTACAATACTGTGGTCTTGTGTGTATCCAGATTTACACCAACGAACGATCGAGCTGATGGAGGTTCGGCCGAATAGAATGCCGTTCGAAGGATACCAATCTCAATATCTCGGCCCAAACATTTCTTTCGTAGTTCACTCAGCATAATTGATAAATGCTACTAAGTTTGATGACTCGAGGTCAGGAGGGATCCCTTTTTGAGAAAGAAGTTCCGGATCGCAAGTTTTTTCTGCAGTTATTGTGGAATATCTTTCACAATTTTGTCAGAATCGCGGAAAATAGGATACCACACACAATTATTACAGAAACTGTTGAAAGAATGGCCTCAGAGTTTTGTGCATTTTTTAGACTCGTGTTGATATATTTCATATCAAAAGACATTTGGGTGAGATTCTCTGTTTATCAGAACAAAGATATTTGTATTTTTCTCCACATTCTGCTACACAGGAGGGTTCAGTCGTTCCGGAATCATATGACGTCATCCACTGCAACATTGGCAGCCCTTAATAATGTTATTCAAGTCATTCAAGCATAGCTTTGTTTTTCTGTTAATTTATGTTTCAAGACGTCTAGCAGTAAATGACTACCCAAAGGGCGCTGTGTCTGGTCTGGACATACACAGGAGGAAACACACCGGGGAACAACGCCTCTCCTTATATCAGGACCCGTGAAGATTCTACCCGGGTAGAATAGGTCTTAAGCAACCCATACTTGCCGTAAAAGACGACTATGCTTGTCGTAAAAGGCGACTAACGGGGTCGGGTGGTCAGGCTCGCTGACTTGGTTGATACATGGCATCGATCCCAATTGCGTGGATCGATGTTCATGATATTAATCACTGGATTGTCTGGTCCAGACTCGATTATTTACATACCGCCGTCATATAGCTGGAATATTGCTGAGTGCGGCGTTAAACAACAAACCAACCAACCAACCTTATCTCAGCCTCGGATCAATAAGTTATTCACCGAGAGCGGTTTACGGAATCCTGGCCACGTGAAGATTGTGTTGTTACTGTACCATATCACTTTAAACCACCTCGCTGCTATTTTCCTATTTTCATTCCTGTGTTATGGACACTTTCTTATGTTAAATACTAGTAACAGTATGAAACTGATGTATGGTCGCAAGTCCCCTGTACCCCAAAACAACTCCCAAAGCAGCATGAAGATACGATCCGCACTGAACAGTGAACAAGCTCTCTCACACACACTGGTAGCGTTCTTATCTCCCCTTCAATAACCTATGGTCGATAGGTGTCGCTGTTTAAGTGACTGTAATACAGTAAATATGGCGTAATAACAAAACTTCCTGTTTAGGGGGGGTGGTATTTCACCGTAGAAGTTTTGTCGTATTCAGGTACAAGAAAGCATATAGCGTGCAATTCAGTTGTCTATTGCAATATGCACTCAAATAACTGCTAGGAAAATATGAATATATTTCGAGGCATATTACGCCATATGCACAATGTACTGGGCGACATACTTGGTACCGCTACCGGGCCAGCACACGGCAAGTTCATTAATTTCTCCCTTCTTGTACAAAATCGATTAGCAGGCATGATAAGTTATCTATATCTTTTTCTTCCCTTTAATCAAGCTCATGTGCCTCTGTAGCCAGTCATCTGGTAGTTACCATTTAGATAAACTCACTTGTTCATGGGATGTCTACAGTGTGTATTGTCGTGGGTATATGAAGGGCGCTGCTTGCAAAACTATCACATACTGAATCAGATAAAATAGATTATGTACCAGGATTGTTAACATACAGTTGATGCAACAACACTACGGCAGCCGGGGGGGGGGGGGGGGGGGGGGGGGGCAAGTGATACTTGGACAAATATTTGCGCCCACCCCCTGTCAAAAAAAGTTAACTACGCCTTGGTATACAGGTTGCAGTTGCAGAAAGTGATGATGTCAGAATATTCCTGGATATCAAATGCCAAAGATGATATATGATCACAAAATATGAATACACATACCATATATAATCATACAACAGTTAGTTTATGCACACGTGTCTTCATAATCGTGCTAACGTTCATATACACCCTTAGACAAGTTATTGCACAATGTTGTTAATTGTGTCTATGGATATAAGGTATATTACTTATGGAATATGGTACACAGATTGTACTTATAGTAACAATAAGAATATTTCCACACATAGTATTCCAACTCTTCAATCTCTTCCAAGTCCATATGAGGGCAATAGGTCGCCTCGTGGTTATAGCGTTCGCTCGTAATGCCGAACGACTGGGTTCGATTCCCTTCATGGGACAATGTGTGAAGCCCATTTCTGGCGTCCCCCGCCGTGATATTGCTGGAATATTGATTAAAGCGGCGTAAACCCAGACTCACTCTCCCAAGCCCATATGTTAAAACTTGCATCGTGAACAACGGGAGATTGTACGCGATATCACAAGTGGTAAACCAGAAATGGCGTTCACACAGTGAACTCATCGGAAATGAAAGCAGGATATCCTCGATGGTCAGTGACAGAAGCGTCCGTAACAAGAGCGGAAACACTTGAGTATGCACAGTCTTCAAAGTCGCTATACTTCAAGGCTGTCACTTGTATGCCATATATACATTCAGCATGTCACATTTCAATTATGAATGTTATATGTGTAATAATCTTTTCTTACTATTTTTGTTTTTACATTGGAAATGGTTTCTCTTTCCCTCGAACCTGCATCGTAAATGTCTTGAGTAAAATCGATACAGGACGAGGATGGTGTGTGGAAGAATATATGCAAGCAATGTTATAAAGGAAATATATAACATTGTCAGAGCCTGTCCTCTGTCTGTGTGTGTGTGTGTGTGTGTGTGTGTGTGTGTGTGTGTGTGTGTGTGTGTGTGTGTGTGTGTGTGTGTGTGTGTGTTTGTGTGTGTGATACTGAGATACTATGAATACCCCAACCTAGCGGCACAGTATACACAGTATACTGACTCCAGTCCTTGTTTTAGCTCCAGACAGGGTAACAACAAGTACCATTTTTTAACGTCTTTTGGTATGACGCGGCCGGGGATCAAACCCCAGCCCTTCTGCTCTCCGGGCGGACGCTCTACTACTAGACTACGGAGGCGGTCTTCCTAGTCGGAACCTCATAGTCGGAACCACTTGGGAAAATGGCACTGGTACTGAAATAGCCCCCCTCTACTCGGAGCATGTCTGTTTAAAGTACGGATCGGGTGGTTGACGCTGGAGTGGGATGATGGAACATAATACCTATCGATGAAAGTTTCTTTACATTATGTAACCGCAACGACATAGGTGACGAATGCCATTATTTACTTCTGTGTGACGATTTTAACAGATGGAATTTTAGAAGAAAAATAATTACAGCACCATCACAAGCGTGTGTGGTTCCAAAGTGATCACAGAACAGAACTTTATTCCACTCAAGACTATGTACGTAGTATGCTGAGGTTAGCAGAGTAGCATATTTGTTTTTGATGTCGACTGTTTCACATTTGTTAAAATTATTCTACTGAAATTAGAGTTTCATTCCATTTGCTTTGAAACACTTATTCTTTGGGGTTGCAATAAGCATGGCACACACACACACACACACACACACACACACACACACACACACACACACACTAGCATATGATGTATCATTAACATACATGTATGTCACATATTTCATGGGCGTTTACTTTTTAGCTGATTAATCATTTGTTGGAATATTGAATATGACTCATACACCTCTGGTCCTTTATGGAGTTTTAATATTTATGGTCGAAATGATATTTTATATTGATCGGTACGATCGGTACGAAAACGACTGGATAAGCCTATGTCATAATGAAACGCCATCAACACGTTTATGACAGGAACGAATGCGTTAAACTGTAAACCATTTTATGAGTACGAACATCTTCTGAAAGTGGCGTCGAGAAGCTAGTGATGAAAGCTGTTTCATGACGAATGGAGTGTGCCTTTTACAGTAGCGCATATTGTTATACGTCCTTATAGTTCTTCATAATTAATATTAATTCGAAAAACTAAACTGGTATGTTCAGATAAGCACTCTATGTGATACTGCATCCATACCTACGGTGCCAAGAGGAAAGTTGTTTCTGAATGCATTTCCTTCTAGGTATGTCATATACTTTCATTGAATTGTTATTTTCAGATAAGCAGTCATGCCCAAGCAACCCTGTGCAGATGGGTAGCTGTGAACCATACACTACTCTCTACCACGCTGTGCTCATATACGATAAGGATGACGTAGACGACGTCTTGACACTACAAACACGTCTAAACAATATAGTTCTCCGTCACGATATATCCGCGAAGGTGGCACTGCTGGATGACATAGAAGCCGACGGAGGAACGGAAATCGCATCATTCGATGCGTGTTTCAAACAATGTGTTTTATTCTTTTTATACATAACGAAACCATTTATGCAAAACCGCTATGATAAATGGAAGCACGAAGTGGCACTGACTAATTCCTTGGCACGTGGATCTGATATAGACCGTGAACCTTTTGTTATTCCGATTTTCACGGACAATAAAGATACAGTAGGTTATCTTAGAGATAAACCTACGCTTACAGCTGTATCTGGCATCACATATCGCGGCTGTGAATGGAATCGGGGCGTGGAAAGAAGCTTCCGCAAAAACCTGGAGAAGGCACAAGAAAGACGGCATGTCAAACTAAATGGGACTCCAGTGGATCAACTAGACTAACATCTAGTCTCTGAAATGAACATATCGTACATAAAAAAACAATCTTAATAAAAATATAATAAAAAGGAGCCCAGTGACTCTCTTCATTTTCTGCAGTGATCTAGACTTGCCAAACATTATAGACTTGCATGGGCTGTATTTGATATATATTTGTATCAGGGTCTGTAAGACAGACTATGGATCAACCAGACTGACAACTTCTTTGATGGACATTTAGAAGTTGGAGTACTAAGTAAGGATAAGAATTTATGGATGAACAACTTCTTTATTACAATTAAGAGCAACGTTTCGGTGTAGGTTCTAACACCGTTATCAAGCAAGTGACAGACTGACAGTTGATGCAGTGTTCCATTAACACATCACACGATCAGTTGTTCCTGTTTGGACAATGACGTGTGACTTCTAACAAAGGTGGTGTGGTACTCACTGTGAATATTTCCTAGGGAGCTGACGATGAAGTACGAAGGTACCCTAATCCATCAACAGTAGCAGGAAGTATTGCCGCGCGCGCTTCGGCGTCATGTAACGTGGCGTGGAGTTGCATTACATAAACGAGAAACTTTCTTTCGTCAACATTAAGTATTCTTATGTGATACATAAATCATAATAAACGTGTATGTATATATGAATTTTTATTCTTCATAATAAATGCATTTGTAAATATTATAGTACGGGTTTTTTTATCTGTGAAGTTATAATAATAGATGTCAATGCGTCAGTAATTCCAATTGATACATACACCAGGTGTTGAACCCGGGAAGATTCCGGGGTAGAATAGGTCTTCAGCAACCAATGCTTGCCGTAAAAGATGACTATGCTTGTCGTAAAAGGCGACTAACGGGATCGGGTGGTCAGGCTCGCTGACATGGTTGATGCATGTCATCGATCCCAATTGCGTGGATCGATGCGCATGATGTCAATCACTGGATTGTCTGGTCCAGACTCGATTATTTACAGACCGCCGTCATATAGCTGGAATATTGCTGAGTGCGGCGTTAAACAACAAACAAACAAACAAACAAACCAGGTGTTAATGTTTAAGTTGAAATAACTTGTAAATATCCTAAATATAATACTATTAATCTCGGTGCACACAAATCACGTTATGATGACATCTTATTCTATTTTTACTTGCTCAAAATGGCAGTATGATAACTCATACATATAGATAAAAGGTTACCAAATATTGTCAAATAATTTCTATAAGCTCAATATGTATTCCACATTAATGAGCTAGTGTGTGTTGAGTACAGTTAACCAATATGTCCAAAGTATCTATAAAACCTTGGTGCCAGAGAATAATCATTCTCGATTGTCTGACGAATCGGATTTCATTTGGCGTTTAGTTAAGGGCAAAATTTTAGTGAAATTATATAAATGGATCACTAAAAGTCAATGATGACCCAATGTGTCCATGAAAAACACCATCCTTGCATGTGCTTAAAGTTGACTGAGGGGCAAAAGAAACTATACATCTAGGTTGATTTTATTATATGTTTGATTTTCAATTGACCAGCGATATAATAATCCAAAACAATTAACTGTATTGAGGCTTAATCTGCACTCAAATAATCCTTAAAAAGGTTTTATTCTTATACATATGTTTGATTTAAAACTTGTGGGGACATTTGGTTGCGAATTCATTTTTTACCCTAGACTTTATTGAACCAATTTATTTTTACACAAATTTGCCCAGCCACAAATTACATTTTACCAACTGTTGCAGGAATGGGTGATGGTTAACGAAGCATAATTATATACAACAACTGTTCAATTCATAATCAATTCATCATTCTTGATTGCTACACAGCTCGTTTCAATACTCTATATATTACATTGAATTATATTTCGGTTTTATGTCATGGACCTTCAATTGGAGTCAAAAGAAACGAAATGAATATCCGTTACTTCTAAAACATTTTTGTTGTCACTCGTTCTCCATATTCTCCGTGGGAAACACCCACGAAGAACACTTCTTTCCTGTGGCCAACAAACTGATATTAAACTGTGTGGACGTGGACGTGTTGCATGTAACACATGTCATATTTGTGATAACACTTTCTTAGCAAAGTACAGATTCTCGTACTTTTGGGGGGTTGAATAGCGTCCGGGATTCGAACCCACACTTGCCAGAGTGAGGCACCTAATCACCAGCACACAAAGTCAGCGATCTAACCCACTCAGCCACCGAGGCTCCCTCAAAAATGAAAGTCCGACAACTGGTAGTCTAGATCACGTACTTTGAGTACCCCTCCGACTGGTAATCGCCAGCACACAAAGTCAGCGATCTAACGATGTGCTGGCGATTAGGTGCCTCACTCTTGCAAGTGTGGGTTCGAATCCCGGACGGGACTAAACCCCTCCCACAAAAAAAAAGTACGAGAATCTGTACTTTACTAAGAAAGTGTTATCCCAAATATAACATGTGTTACATTTGACCACTTTCTAAATGGCATTGTGTATTGATAGACGTGTTGCATGACTATCTCTACCTACGTCCCTTCCGTAGTTTCACGTCAAACGACAAGCACAGAGAGCTGTAATTAACTGAGTTTAACAGGAAACATGGAACACCTCCAAAATAAGAATTGATATGTAACAAACAGGTTGCGATCACTGATTTATACAGTGGGCGTCCAATGGTACGGGCATCTTTTATACTGTACACAGTGTGTATTTCATAGATATCCGTGTTCTCCAACACGCTTCAACGTAGGCCAGGGATAAGGAAAGGCCCCGACTGAATTAAACTCAGGTCGGTACAATGACTGCTGGTTATTGTTAAGTAGAGTACGAGAGAAGACCGACGCTCAGTGGTGACGTACATGATTGGTGTGTCGTCGACTGCGTGGATCGTCGTCCTCTGATTTCTATTTTCCGGTTTGATCATAATTCAGTGTTGATAAATCACAACTAATGTTTTATTTGTCAAACGAGAAATGAGAGCATACCTGAGATACAAGAATGGCTATGATTGACATTAAGGGTAAATTATGGGTACATGGGTGAGGTGAAATGGGGTTTAACGTCGCGTTCAAGATTATTGCACTTCTCTAGCCACGTTCATGCACGTGTGTGTATCTATTGTACTAGTCCGAACTAATGTCGATTTTTATGGTGCTAGCCCACAAAGATACCATGCCGCAGTTTAACATGAATACCCGCACACATTCAGTACAGACTCCGAACTTGCCAGTCCTTCTTTGCCCCTTAATGCAGAGCGCCAGGCAGGGTAACAACAAAGACCATATCTTAACATCTTTCGGTATGACGCTGCCTGGGAGCGAACCCCGGACCTTCCGCTCTCCGGGCAGACTCGTGGGTACATAAGCGAAGGAGGAAACAATAACGGCATCAAGATAGTACGTATGTGTGAGTTGAATTTAACACGGTTAAAGTATTTCAGTCAGTTGATGTAATTTCGAATAGGTTCCCTACCGAGAGACCCGTGAAGATCCGGGTGGAATGGGTCTTCAGCGATCCATGCCTGCTGTCAAAGGAGACTAAGCTTTTCGTAAAAGGCGACTCACGGGATCGGGTGGTCAGGCTCGCTGACTTGGTTGAAGCATGTCGTCGTGTCCCAATTGCGTGGATCGATGCTCATTATCTCAATCACTGGATTGCGTGGTCCTGACTTGATTATTTACAGACCGCCGTTATATAGCTGGAATATTGCCGAGTGTGGTGTTTAATAATAAACAAACAAACAAAACAAAACAAACTGTCAATGTCGAACTAACGTAAAAGGAACGTCAACAGTTTGTGTTCGGACCAGACACATACGATAAAGCGAGGCAATTAAAGGGGAAGTAACTCTTGTGTGACAATAGTTCCGTCAAAGTGTAATGTTCCTTGCAGTGAAAATCTAGTGTTATGTTCACAGTAATGAAAATATCACTTTTCTCAACTTCACAAACTCAGTCTTTCACACTGAAGTACATAATAAAACATTGCATTCGTGTTCATGCCGTGTGCCTAAATTTTGGTATTTCCCTCTAGCTCGGGAAATACTGGAATTTAGACACTCGTATCGTAAACATAGTATGACATGAACACATATAATATTCTCTATATTTCCGTAACCTGTAACAAAATGTGCTATTCGGCTTGTCCCGGAATAACATGAAAGTTATCAAACCCGTCATTTATGGCAGAGGCCATATCGGAAAATGGTCTCTGGTCGTGGGTACTATGGAACTGATGAACAACCCATACAGATCGAGACTGGAATATCGAATCAAGATAGTACAGCCTAGACTCCCCCTTTTATGAGCAATCTAAAAGATTATTGGTTTGACATATGGTATGGGATAATAAGTTCAATATTTCATACTTAAACCGTGTGAGAAATTTAGACTATGAATATTTATTTTGCAGGGTTGTTGTTTTTTCTCCGCAAGAATTAACCGGATCCTCACTTTTTCTTTTATAAAACGTCCGCTGTGGTCTTGTCAGTGTTTCGCAATTGTAAACAAAGTCATGACTCAGATGACATGACTCAGATGCTGTTTTATTTCCGACGGAATTTCCCTTTCGGTTCAATCCGATCTAAATTTACTTCCCCTATGTCCGGTATAGTTTTGGTTCTTCAAGCTCTTGGCCAGCGCGTGACACCTTCCTTACACACTTCCGTAACATTGTATAGAGCTCCGTGAACGACTATCACTACGAGGAGCTTGGGTTAAATCAAGGGTAGGTTACTCTCAGCCTCGTGTTGGAATCGGGAAGTCCCCGATGTATGACACGATTTAGCACATTCTGTAATTTGTTTTATTTAAAAGAGGAATCGCTTGTCCTAATAAGAAACAAGAGGACATCGAACGTGTTATCTGACAACCAATCCTTTTCATGCCATGGAAGACGCTGCCAATATGACAGAGGTGAGACGCAGAACTTCATTCATAGTCAATTTGAAACCGAAAGTATTCTGAACTTCGGATCAAAGTCTGGCATTCCCCTTTTGTAACTAACCCACACAGTTGTGCCATGACTCTGCCAGTGGCTCACGTGTCTTCCTCGTTCCTTCAAAATCCGGTAGTAAGGTATTTATAAACAAATTTAGTAATTAAGATGTTCTGTTTAATGTCAATATGATAGTAGATCTGCTGGTACCCGTTGACAATCAGATCACCGACGATGCAATTTGTTTATTAGGTGTCGTTCTTATGCTAATTAACCTGCCACCTAAGCTTAATTAGAATCAAACTTGTTTGTTGTTGTCTTTGTTACCAGTTAAGGTCTAATGATAGTTAATACTAATAAGACCCTAATATACAAGTTGTATTTGAAGAGGAAAATACAACACACTCACACACACACACACACACACACACACACATGGATGGAAGAGGAAAATACCACACACACACACACACACACACACACACACACGGATGGAAGAGGAAAATACCACACACACACACACACACGGATGGAAGAGCAATACATAGCAGTCTATCATATCTGAAAGTTGATAATATTGTGAAAAGGTGACCCCGCGACATAATGTAACATTTGTCATGTTAGGCTCCTGGTAGGGACTGAAATAGTGCTGTACAACAACTAGGGGCACAGTTGTCTAAGTTGACGTTATTCGCTGTCCAGATATCTATGGTCGTAGGTTTCAATCCTGGGTTGTTGGGATTATGTTTCTAAGTTTGTCATAACAATACAATACACACATGGTAAACGTGATCGAAGACTGGCATCACTTCAAGCTTAAATGCCACATTAACCTGACACACCATCATATATAAACTGAAATACTGTTTAAATCTGAGTTAGACCCAACACCCTGAATCACTCATACACTGTTAAAGAACTTGTGTCAAAACTCGGGAAACAAACGCCATATTTAGTTAAACTCTCCTACATATTTTGTGGTATGAGTCTCCCCCACCATGGCCATAGGGGATTCCCCTACAGAATAGAAACTCAGCCCTGCATTCTGTGCCTGTTGTGTTAGCTGATGCATGAAGATGGGGCATGATGTTGCACTTTGAGTGAAAATGTTACATAATGAAAGTAAGACTAATGGTCTCTCACCATGTACTCACTCAGCATGTACCGTGGGCGACTGAATGTTATTTTATGTAGCTCATGCTATCAACCACTGTTTGGCCTGGCCTGGCCCCAAATGGATTACAGTGGTCCCTCGATACAACGCTACCAATGGGGTCCAAATAATTGGTGGGCGTTATAGACGATGAGCCGTTTAACCGAGGCCAGGGGCGCGGGAGCGCGCTCGGCAAATCTCAAATCATCAATATGTGTTTATCTCACGTCACGTCAAAATAGTATATATTTTTATGGACCTAGATCTACCTGTAATATCATTCATTTATTAAATCTGTCACATTTCACAACGTCTGGAATATGTATTCCATTTCAATTTATCATTTTTTATCGATAAATTAAAAAATTATTCACTATTTCCCGTGATGTTATTGAAAATAAAATTCTTGGACACACATTTCGACAACGGGTCCGCATCAAACATGTCAAAAAGCAAAATAAAGACGTTTTAAGCAAATCTTTAAATATATTATACAAAGTGATAAAAAAAAATCAACAAAAATATATCTAAAAGTAATCAAACTTGCATCTAAGTTATTATTTCCATCGTTTCGTGCGATCGCGTGTAATGTAAGTCAAATGACATCTCGTCTTTCTTCGCCTTGAATTCTCGGCTCGGACACAACGTTTAATGCAAAAATATATGCAGAAAAATCTTTGTCACAGCTCCTAACCTAGCACGATACATTCACAAAGTTCCATATTTTAATATATATCGTGATTTCCTGCTTAAAACGTTCAGAATAACACGATTTAACAAAAATCTTTCGCCAACTTCTGAAATTTATCAATCATGAGCTTGGTATCACAGCTATAATTTGATTGGCTGCCTGAGGTCACGTGCTCAAAATTGAACAATCACGAAACTTGTAGCAGATTTCGGCAAGAAAGCGTCATTAGAAAAAAATTTTAATCCAATGAAATCGCTTGTTATAACTACGGAAAAAAAACAGGCGATGTTACGAAAGCGCGATTACGAAATTTCTCTCGGCTAATTTACTGTACCATTTTACCAGTAGTTAAACATGTAGACAGTGATAGTAATTTCCAATATTACTTGCCTCCGGACAAGTTAAAATAAGTGATTTTGTTGCCCAACCTCATATTTCTACCTGCCCTGGGAGTCGGGAAAGGGCAAATTTCCACCCCTGAGAGGCATTGATTGGTCATGTTGCTTAAAATACAAAAAGCGAGAGTTTTGACCAGCACTATGCGCATTCATACACATTTATACAAATATAGATACACATTCAAGCCAGATTAATTGGTTTGATACGGTTACTTGATCCGAATCAAAAGGAATGACCGCCGTGTTGTGACAGCAACTACATGTGAGTTGACAGTGTCGCCTCAAATTGGATTGCCAACTAATTAAGAATATAAACTTCGCTTGTGGTTCTCTTTTATTGCATGCATGCGCTTCTAAGATCAAAGGATGTATAGTGTGAAAAGTTAACTAGTTGAACAATCGTATTTCCGGGACTTGCCGCGGATGTTTTCAAACAGATTATTAGAACTCCATTCAGCGATAAACGGTTGATTATGCAATGAGAAGCGTTATGTGCAAATGAACAATGAACAACGAACAACAATACAATTATGTCTGTGTAAAACTCTCAGTATTAAAAGTGTACATAAATTTTGGGAGCCATGCCTTACCGCGCGTAGTAACCGAGGTAGCGCTTTATCGAAGAGCACAATAGCGAGGGATCACAGTATTACCAATCTCCTAAAATCACTACCGCTAAACAAATTGATACAGGTCACCCTTGACTGGCAGACTTGATACAGGTAACACTTGTCTAGTGGACTTGATACAGGTCACCCTTGACTAGTGGACTCTTTGCACGTAACACTTGTCTAGTGGACTTGATACAGGTAACACTTGTCTAGTGGACTTGATACAGGTAACACTTGTCTAGTGGACTTGATACAGGTAACACTTGACTAGTGGACTCTTTGTAGGTAATCCTTGACTGGTGGATTTGATACATGTCACCCTTGACTAATTGTTGCTGAACAAAGTGTCTGACAACGTTTTTAATGCCACAGATGCAGGCTTGAGGAGGAATGGTTGTGCACCATGTCCAGGCTGCCGAGCATTGTGACAACCGACAGCGAACCAACAGATTCCCCCCAGTCATCTTCGGGCTCCGTGGGGTCAGGGACACAGCCTCCAAGCATGTCTGGGTCATCACCACCACCGCGGGGTGGCCAGGGCGCCAGGAAGAAGATACCTCCTGATATACGTAAGCAGGGATAATTCTAGGATGGGGCTTTATGCTTTTAGCCCCTAAATTTGAAAAAAGGCCCACTTTTTCAAATACAATGGGGCATTTTAACATTGGGCTGTATGGGTTAGTGTGGGTGTACCCGGAATAAATTAAATTTTCACATAAAGGGCCCATTTCAGAAACTAGGATCCATTTTGTTAAGAAATGGAGACTTTTTGTCTTTTTTAATGGCTCTGTCATCAGTCAACACAGTTTCATGCGCTGAGGTAGTCCTGCGCCATGACCTGTGGAATTTTAATTATTTATATACAGATATAGATATATGTAGATATGGATATATATTTATGGATATTTTTGTACTAAAACCCTAGGCAAGTCTAGATTAAACTAAACCAAGTCTAGTTTCCTTGATATGAAAACAGCAGAATAGGAAAGATTCTTTTGAAGAAAATCTTTTTACAATTATTTTGAAGAAATGTTTTCCTAGACTTAGTGTTTGCCTAGCACTGAGGTCACCAGTGTCAAACATGGTTGTTGTTCTTCTTGTTTATATGGTGAACTTATTGAGAGCTTATTTATCACTTATGTGGAAAACGGTGAGGATCTGTTGGTAAATCATGATCTTAAGTTTGTTAACCAAATACGTCACATCATTCATGTCCATGACCAGATAGCTGGAAATGTTTCATAAAATACCAGGAACAAATCATAGCCAGTGATTACTGGATGTCTAATGTATACAAAAACATCTGAGATATGTTTTCATTGTTTTCCCAGGCTCGGTGGACAGCGGATATTGCGAAACAAGCCCTGCTCAACGCGTTGTTTCAGATGCTGTACCATCTATGGAACCAGTAAGCATGGAAACCATGAACCTCCAGCCGTCTGGAGGGAGCTCAGTAGACCTCCCTGCCTCTACCATGGACACAGTCAGTCACATCAGAGACCATCTGGTACACCAAATCCAGAAGTCAGTGGGTGGGAAAGGAAAGAAGGAAGACTCCTCCTCAATGACCCTTGCTTCTATTCCAAGCTCCTCCTCTCCCTCATCCTGCTCATCCTCCAGTGGTGCCCAGGATGTGACGGAGGAGGACATTCAGAAGCTCCTGAATGAAATGCCACCTGACATGAGGGTTGATTTCCAAGATGCCATGGTGCTGTACTGTGAAGAGGATAGGGACAGAGTTATGGACTTTGTTGATCATTTCAAAGAAATTAGCTTATTTGGCGTTGACACGCCGAAGATTGTATTAAATGATGAGATTGCCATATCAATTGGATCAAAGTTCAAGGCATTAGAGTTCGGCATTGATAGATGCACTTACGTTTTCCTCTATATAACAGATTTGTTTTGTCGTGATTCTTGGTCTGAATATTCTAGTGAGACTTGTTTAATGGAAGCTATTCATAATCCTGACAAAAAATGGTGTGTTGTGCCAGTGTTCACAGAACCAAAGCGAAAAGCTAGTTTCCGAATCCCTCCAAGTCTTAATTCATTGAAGGGAATTCAGTACTGGACAAATGACAAGTTTTTCAGAGATTCAGTGCAAAAACTTTTAGAGGAGAAGTTGTACATTAGGAAAAAAAATGAAAGACAGTTGACAAGAGAAAGAAAAGAATGGGTGACAAAATATAGAATAGAAAAATATGAGGATGAAGTACAAGAACAGAAGGAAAATCTTGCTCGACAGAAACGTGAAAATGATGCAAGGATAGCAAGGGAGAACAAGATGGCGGAGATGAAAAGATTAGAAAGGGAGGAGCAGCTGCAACATGATTTGGAGTTGAATCGTCTGAAGAGTCAGTCACAGAGCGACATGCAGAGTATGTTGCAACAGTTTGCTCAGAAGTTTAATGTTTCACCGAACTTAAAATCTACTGAATCTAGAAGTGAGGAAAGCGTTATACCCCCTCCTGATGTTACACCAAATGAATTCATGCAGTGGCTGAGACATATGTCGGGGCAATCATCAGAGCATCTGCAGTCTGTTGGTAGTCATACAGACTCAAATACACAAGCTACATCATCGATGCCAAGATCTGCCTCTGATCATATTGGCTTGTCTTCAAGGGCAAGTAGAGATAGATGCGGGATGCGTGGGCTGCAGGAGACGAGTGTGGACCCACCTGGAGGTGATGAGGGCAGTACTGGCTTCAGCGTCCTTCCAGGAAACAGGAAGAATACTGGTTCCGCAGGTGTTGCTAAGTTCTTTAGCCTTCCTAACCGGCCTGCACATGGAGATAGTGATACTTCACAAGCAAAAAGTTTGCCTCCTGAAGCATCTATTGATGATCTAGAAGAAGACTTCAAGTCTATAGGTCCTGGGTCGCTTAATCCAGATTACTCATACCAGGATTCACGCCGGGGAGGACACACTCCATCCCAGAGACCACGAGGCAGAGATGCCCCATCTGGTTCTTCAAGGTCACAGTTGGTTAGAGAGGCTGTTCCTCAGACACCGGATCAAGACAGTTTAGGTTCAGACTGTGGGCAAGGTGATCCATCCGTGTTGACAGGAGGTAAGCCTGCAAAAAACGTTCACTACCACTACCATTATTATGGTGATCCAGAGGACAAGAAGAGTTCATCAGCTGAGAAGAAAGAGCCAGTTCCTGTTAACATAGTTGGGGCCACGGTTGTTCAGATAGGGAATGACAACACGGTGAAGTTGCTAGGGGGGCAGGTGGTGACAGGTGCTGAGGAATTCGCGGTGGACAGTGAGGAAGAAGATGAGGATCTTCCAACGCTTCCAAAGGAACCAGGAGGGTAAGGGCCAATGAATGCTGTTGTCACGATTTTCAATTTTTCAATTTATAATTTTTAGTTATATGTTCATCATGTTCAAAGTTGTACAAGGTAGTTAGTCTGCAGGTTTGCACAACTTCCATGCAGATCTCCCCACAACAGTAGTGTTTTCTAGGAGCAGATTTACATCCCAGATGCATCTTTTGCAAACACAACTGGCATATACAGTAAACTACAGTTGTAACGAACTCAAAGGGACCAGTAATTTTAGTTTCTTATAACTGTAGTTTGTTATAAACATATATACAGCAAATATACAGAAAATGGTTGGGACCAAAAAAACAGTTTGTTATATCCGCCAGTTCATTATAAGCGTGTTCGTTATAAACGTAGTTAACTGTATGTGGGATTTATCACATGTGTTTTTTAATTTGGGTTATATCAATCATGTCTTAGTTAATTGGTATTTGCCAAGCCTTTAGCGAGGCAAATACGAATTAACAGGGCCTATTGCCATGAATTTGTTTATCCATCTTTTCCAGTGGGCCTGCGCTGTCAGCAGTTTCAGGAAGTCAGCCGCCATCCACCATATACCAAGACAACAACCCATCAGTGGCTCCTCATCACTCACGCACAGTACAGCTGCCCTCCAGGACACCTGAACCAGCTGGCACAGGAATCTCACACGCACCAGCTGCAGCAGCCCCATCTCAACATGTGGCGGCTAGAAATGTGGATGTGCAACCAAGAACACAACCCATTGCACCTGTTTCAAGAAATGTGCCTAGAGTAGCTCCACATCTGCCTCCGAACCCATCAACAGCAGGAGCACCACCGGTGACGTCTTCAGGGCCGGTGGAGGCAGGGTTTGGGGACATGCCCAGTGCGCAGAGACACACCAGTTCATCCCTGTCTGCGCTGCAAGCTCAGCCGTCTGCTCCAGTGAGGCCTGTAGGAGTTGCAGCCCTGATGTCCCGGGGTGTTGATGGCAGGAGGGACGGAGACAGGGGGGACTGTGCACAGGAGAACATTGCAGCAGTTAGAGAACCAGCTGTAACAGCACTGCAGAATGTGGGAACACCACCACAAGAACATTTAGAAATGGCGACGGAAAGTGTAGAAACTTTACCAAGTGAGGATGAAGACCCAATTACAGAGCAGACACTAGCGAAACAACGAGCTCTTGAAAGTGTGAGTAGTTGGGGATCTTAGTGAACAGTTATACTTGTAGCAGGGTTCTGACAAACTATTGTAATATTTGAACAGAGTTCCATTTATATTACCGTATTCGACGTAATAAGCGCCCCGCTCTAATAAACGCCCACGGCGATATTTGCAAATATATTGGCTAGTGAACAATCCCAATCAGCACCCCTTTCCGATTGATCAATGTACACAGAACTTATTTATTGGCGTATAATACGCACTCGTGTGTTATATTCACCCTTAATTATGGGCAATTAAATTCTGGAAAAATATATCTGTTGTATGTAAACATTTCAGGCTGTCAGCTTAAACCACGAAATTTACGATCTTCCAACTCTGTTTTTTTTTACCCAAAATAATATTCTAATAAAAGACCCCTATTTCTACTTTTGAGAGCGCCCTGGGCGCTTATTACGTCGAATACGGTAAATAAGTTGTGACATTTGTTTGACATTGGGAAGGGACCTGTAACACAACAGTAATGAAAATGATTAATTGCCTTAAGGTTACTTCATGCATACCCTTTTCTTTCATCAGAAAAGTGGAATGAAAAATTGAAATCAACAGTGAAACCTCATCAGTGTGGAATCTTTTCTTTGGCTAAAAAAGATAATAGTCTTGTTTCTCAGGCGCCGCCCACATCGTAATAAAGTCTGCCGCATTTTTTTTTACAAAACCCTAATACTTAAAAACAATGTGATCCAATATAACATGCAGTTACTTCCCCTTTCATGTGTTCTGGTAATGGCAGCAATAGGAGTTTGTATGCTTGTTTATGTAGGGAAGCTCTGTTCAAGGTTGATGCTACGCAACTGTTAATTTGGTTACATAGTCGTTTGAACAGCAAAAAAACTATAAACCACCGCCCAGCCGTACTATATTTTCAAATGTCATTGCCTGAGAACCAATTCATTTATTTTTTTAAGACTTGTGGATGATTACTTTAAGATGTCTGCATATATACACAGAGGGAATTACTAGGTAACCATGGTAACATGGGGATTCTGGGTTAGAATTGGTCCTCAGCAACCTATTTTGGTCATAAGAGGTAACTTAATGGATCTGGTGGTCATGCTCGCTGACTTGGTTCGTTGTGTGTCAGTGTACCATGACAACGTGGATCGAGACTCAATGGGTCAATCAAAAGCAATATTGACCTCATATGAAGCCTGTAATTGTACAATGCTGATGTTTGTCAAACGTCCTGGAGAGCTCAAACAACCCGACCTGTTGGGCCAAGGGTGTCCTAGTGGTAATTAGTGATATATAATTAAATTTTCATTGTGTTCATTGTAGTTTCTGCATTCTGATTAGATGACAGGGTCATGTGTTATTGCTTTTGTTTCCAAGTAAATGTTAAAAATTACGCCACGCCCACGGAAGCAGACTACTTTTATAACTACGGAAAGTCGGGGAATCCCAATATTACAGTCATGGGAATTCCCTTTCTGCTCACATGTATAGTCATGCACAGAATGTTTAGCTAAATTCATGCATATTCATTGTCCAAACTACCCTTGGAGACCCAAGGCTGAGAAGATTGAAACAACAAACATGCAGGCCCGATCGCCTGTTTCTTTTTTTCGACTACGCGGACCTTGCTTGACAACGGTATAAGGATCTATACCGAAACGTCGCTTTTTACAGTATTAAAGAAGTTGTTATCCATAAAATTGTGTCTATCTTGTCATCCACCAACTTCTAAGTAATGCCTATCAAACAAGTTACGCAGATTCATACAGTTTGCACATCGGTTTTTCGATTCATACCTCAATGAACCAAGAAAGAATCCACAGTCAATTCTTTAGTATTAAATATGACATTGCTTCTGTTAATTATGGTAATCACATCTGTTAGTCCTAACATTTGCAGGAAAACAAGGTAGTGTTTGGACATTTTGCACAAACTTCCCACAGGACCACCAAGCATTGTTACCCTTAGGCCTAAGATGTTTTAAATTATTCCTGGTAACCAGTTGGTAACTGAAGTTGGTCATGTTTATTGCAAGATTCCTAAGTTGTTTAATAGGCATTTCCTAGAAGTTGACTGATGACAAAGTAGACACAATTTATGGATAATAACTTCTATATTTACTGTAATGGCGACCTCAGTATTGATCCACATTCGCTGCCACAACAACCGCCATCTAACATCAGATCCAGGGGCGGTCGGGTAGCCTAGTGGTTAAAGCGTTCGCTCGTCACACCGAAGACCCGGGTTCGAATCCCGACATGGGTACAATGTGTGAAGCCCATTTCTGGTGTCCCCCGCTGTGATATTGCTGGAATATTGCTAAAAGCAGCGTAAAACCATACTCACTCACTCACTCACTCACTAACATCAGATCCAATTGTTTTTTGCAGGAGGTGGACTGAAGTAGACTTAAATGGACATATTGTGGCTGTTTCATATGGCAGACAATGAAGACAATGCAGCGGTCAGTCAGTGTAGACAATGAAGACAATGCAGTGGTCAGTCATTGCAGACAATGAAGACAATGCAGTGGTCAGTCAGTGCAGACAATGAAGACAATGCAGCGCACAGTCAGTGCAGACAATGAAGACAATGCAGTGGTCAGTCAGTGCAGACAATGAAGACAATGCAGTGGTCACTCAGTGCAGACAATGAAGACAATGCAGTGGTCAGTCAGTGAAGACAATGAAGACAATGCAGTGGTCACTCAGTGCAGACAATGAAGACAATGCAGTGGTCAGTCAGTGCAGACAATGCAGCGGTCAAGACAGTGCAGACAATTGTCAGTGACAATCAGTCAGTGCAGTGTGTTGGAGGAGGTATTGTTTCCGAGCATCTGGCCACAGATTACCTCACGTCATGTAGAGTATGTCCGGCGTGAATCACGGAGACAGCCACCATAATACTGCAGTGGTAGAAACCAATTCATTGTAGTCACCTAAGAACACAAGTCACCTAAGAACACCTTCAATGTACCTTAACCATTATAACCATTATTAATTATGGTAGGGGCATAATGTCCAGAATCTTTAAGTGGCATTTAGAAGCTGTAGTATTGAAGGAAGACAGGATTGACATATGGATGCCAATTATATGTTTTCAAAATATGTTGATACAGGTGCTTGTACCTTCATGAAGCAAGTTACCTGCACCTAGTTAGGACACAACTGAACAGCAACACTGTCTCCGGAGATTGGGCCTCCTAACTTGCCTGCCATATTGAATATGTCATGTTTGCCGATTTCTCAGCCATTGTTTTCTGTACCATCCAAATTTTTGTTCTCCTAGACCGAACAGAATTTTACTAGACACTGGCTTTGGAGTAGACATGCAAGTGGCTTAAGTCGCAGACTGTGAAAGTCATATGTAGCCACTTTGTTTAAGGCTAAGAAATATAATAGTGTTGGTTCACTGGCACTGCTCTCATCATCATAAAGTCTGTTGCATGTTTCGTTTTTATTTCCATTTTAAAAAGAATCAAGAAATCTCAATACTTAAAAACAGTGCGATCTAAAGTAGCACACAGTTACTTCCCTTTACATGCCCACTGCTTTAGTGCTCATCTCGTGTGATGGTCATGGCGGCAATAGGAGTTTGTATGCTTGTTCATGTAGGGAGGCCCTTTCCCAGGTTGATGGTACACCACTGTTAATTTGGTTACATACTAGTTTGAACAACCCAAAAAACACCTCCCGCTGCACTAGTTTCAAAAGTCATTGCCTGAGAACCAATTCTTTTATTGTTTTAAGCCTATCGTGACTAGTTGATGAATGGAGCTGCTATGTTGATGGATGACCGCCAAGTGTATGGGGGAAAGGGATTACCCTGATAAGTGATGTCACTCTCTAACATAAGTAGTAGCAGAATGTCACGAGCGATTGGGAATGTCGAGCTGAGTTTTGTCCTGTTAATACCATTGGTTTTAATCCTTCAACACCATGTCCAAATTTTGCTTTCATTTCTCATCTACCAGGAGGCAGTAGTATGAGGATTTGCCCACGAGGGAGGGACATGTCTGCCACACACTGACATCTGGTCATTATCTTCACTTGCAGAAAACTGATGCCTTGGCTACCAGGTGCTTAGCTATATATTGCTTATTTAATTTATGGTACAATAAACTAACACAGCTATCAGCTTGGGGGATGCTTGGATTATTCCATATTGTGTTGTGGATTTTATTTGCCACATTTAGAAGAATGCTTCGAGTCAAGGACATGCAGAATTAATATGATGCCTGTTGAGACAATCTGTCCTATTATGTGGACTCAATTTTTGTTTGTTGCCGTGGCAACCTTGCTAAAAATGCATCATGCAACAGATATCTTGCTCCCTTAAGGGTTTTAGATAGAACTGTAGAAGTTGTCTTAGTAGAAGCAAGGACACATCAGTGACTGCTGCTGTTTGTTTGTTTTTACCATATGTCATAATACGTATGTGATATTTCCTCAAACCCTGTAGAGGAACACCCTTGCATCAAAATACTGTGTGCTCAATGGGCAGTATTAAGTATTTCATAAATATGTTTATCTTGTGTATTAGAACTCCTAAGTCTGGCGATGATTTAAACAAATACAGCGCAGATATTGACTGTATTCTGTGGTTGTTGACTGGAAGCTGACATGTTGAAGTCTGAGACACCAACATACATTGTTTTGAGGTATGAAATATTTGAAAGAGTTTTTCATGTCTAACGGTTCTGTTTGCTGTTGTTGTTTGTTGAATGGCACATGGACGTGATATCCTAAATCGGTTGATGTTTGGGCTGAATCTTTCTTCGGTTTCTTTTGGCGATCTAGTATTCATGATCCCGCAATACACACAATTCAGAGACTAAAGAAAGTTTACTTCCGGTGGTTGATGTGTTTCTTCCACGGTGATGAAAATGTTGAAGTGTACCGGTAATTGTGCTTTTAACACACTGAGGCCTGTCTTGTACAGCGGCACATTCGTTGTTGATGTAGATGATGTGCTCTGCTGGTCAACACTCAATATATTGAGTGAACAAGTGAGTTGATTAATTGCATCAGCACTTTTCAGCTATGAGGCATCTCTGAATATTACTACTCAAAAGAATTCAAAGAACTCGTAGGAGGCGACTAACGCGATTGGGTGGTCAGGCTCGCTGACTTGGTTGATGCATGTCATCGATCCTCATTGCATGGATCAATGCTCATGATGTCAATTACTGGATTGTCTGGTCCAGATTTGATTATGTACAGTCCGCCGTCATATAGCTGGAATATTGCTGAGTGCGGCGTTAAACATCAAACCAACCCAACCAATCAAAGAACAACCGACTTCTTCATATGACTAAAGTTACTCTGTTATGATCGGTTGTTCATAACCTCTTTTCAGTAGTATGTTATGAACTCCATTAGAAGCACTGAAAGATGAGAACTGTTATTGTTGTTGATTGTTGTTGGGATTAATAGCCTTCATAAGGCCAGGATGTATGACATCGTTGATTCTGAAAGCTGTCTGACAGATCAGAGAAAGAAAGATGTCTGTGATATTTGACGGAGGATGCCCATTAGTTGTTGTAGCTACGTGTTGTAACAATCAATCAGTTTGTGATTAAGGTCCTGGCATCTTGGTGCTGATGTGTGTCTCAAGACTTATGTGTATGTGAGTGTGTGAATCAGGGTTTAACTCTGCTGGTTTGAGTAGTGGAAACAGCTTGGGAAACCAAAGCCTGTGTGGCCAATCCCGACTATAGGGATCATGACCCAACCCGCGTCCTCCAACTTCCTCAAGACTCTGAGAGAGGCAATGGAGGGATAGTGTAGGCAAACATAACTTACCAGCTCATTGATAATGCAACCACTGGTAGAGCTTGTAGTTCTGGAACTGGACTGACGTATGCTGTGAGGTTTTTTATTGATGCCACCGACAGATCAGTCCAGATGAAGGGTGTCCCAAATTGATTTTATGCACTTGAACATTTCTGGATGGAGAGTATTTCAGTTGTATCAGGGCTGCCATCTTGGTGTGAGAGGAATGTTTAGAGGGATGCAAGTCAGACATTTTCCACTTTGGTGAAACTCACTAGCACAGACATGCTGACAGATCAAGAATAATATTTTGGAATCTCAGACCAAGTAGATTCTGGTTCCTAAGGGACTCCACTCTTCATAGTAAATTGTGACATACTAGAAAATTAGACCCAGTGCTCACTGTCTTATGTTGATTATGTAATGAAGAAATTGACCGAATCTGTTGATTCTGGAAGTAGAATGAGCGATCGAAGGGACGAGTTGTTTCAACTTCCAGTGATTTCTCAGATTTAAACCATGTTATGGTGGATATACAATGACCTATAGTTGTGAGGTGAGGTGAAATGGGGTTTAACCTCGCGTCCAAGATTATCGCACTTATATAGCGACGTTCCTATAGTTGTGTAATTTTACTTGTTAAAGGCCAGGGGGGCAGTCCGGTAGCCTAGTGGTTAAAGCGGTAGCTCGTCACGCCGAAGACCCAGGTTTCGATTCCCGACATGGGTACAATGAGTGAAGCCCATTTCTGGTGTCCCCCGAGGGGTGATTGCTGGAATATTGCTAAAAGCAGCATAAAACCACTCACTCTAGAGAACGTAAAAGGCATTCGAAAATTGCAGATAATTACAAAAATACAAAGAGGTGATGGTAAAGAATGGAAGAAGGACGGACTAGGTGTAACATGACAATCACAGGACATGATGGCGGTGTTGTAAGGGCACAACCAACCTTTAAGACGGAACGATTGCGTGATATTGCTGGAATATTGCTAAAAACGTTGTAAGACCAAACTTACTCACCTTCTGTTAATGGCCAGTGAATTCCTGGCTCAGAATAAACTGCAATGACAATAGCGTGATGCCATCCTGATAATTTGGAAAGCATTAACACATTATGAGCTGTCGGCAAACAGTCCAGTGGTCACTTGCACAAAGCAATCTTAGCGCTAAGATCATCTTAAGCCTATGTTAAAGTATGGGAATTACAATCATCTTAGCGCTAAGATCACTTTGTGCAAGTGGGTCCAGATGTGTCCACACATTGCATATACATGATGACCTTCAGACTGTTTTTGCTCAGTTTACTTTTCCTGACCATGATGACATGCCTGCAGAATGATCTCAGTACTTTCATTGTCACATCCTAGCAGAAATGTGGAACATTCATTTATATTTGCATGAACATTTCCTAGACCTGATATTATTTTGAGTGAAAATATGAGTAAGTGTTTGGAATCCATTGGCACCCATGGTGGTATGCGATATTTGAATATTCGTTCATCCACTGCCGACCAACTGTGAGGGCTTGTGTGAGTGAGGGATGTTCCTCTTTTTTCCATGACACACAAGTTGAGTTCTGTTTATACACCTGGAAAAACACCACCCCTCCTATATTTTCATATATATCCCAAACTTCCTGGATGTATGTCTAGGAAATAACTATATAACACTGATCTCATGTCCAAGATACCACAGATACCGGTGAACTGTTGGTACATGGTCACGTTGTGTCCCCCAAGGTCGCGAGTGATGGATGACATTGTATGACTTAAAAAACAGAGCAGGGTAGACATTTGACTTCTGCATACCCGATTTTGGTTTTTGTATGTATGTCACAATATAAACAAAAGCAAATGAGTCAGAAAATATAAACACAATGCGATTTTGAGAAATGGTGATTTTTATGTGGAAATTTATAGAAATTGGTTCTGAACTATTTTCCAATTATTAAGAAAAGATACTTAGTTGTATCTTTTTGTGACAATCTGCTGCCATCAGTGAAAGTGATGTGCCATGTTTGTGGAGTTGAGTTTATGCAGCCTCCATCAGGAGTTTGGCCATTCATGTCTGTCTGTGTCGAACCTATGAACATCACTGTAAACTTATATTTGAACACCTTAGCAACAGCTATAGCACTTTTATTTGATCCTGTATAAGAATTTGATCATAAATCGTTTTGTGGACGATAATGAAAGCTTGCTTTTAATGTTTCAACTTAATATAGTTAATCTTTTGTTGTTTTGGAATTGTATTTGTTTGACTACAATTTATCCTCCAAAATAAGAGCAAAACTAATAAAACAATACTTTTTATACTTTGTTTATTTTGTGCGCTATAATGGATAAATAGTTGTTCAAATTGCAGTATTAGCCTCCATGGTCTAGTGAGTAGAGGTCTGCACGGAGACCACCTCCGTCGTCTAGTGTATAGAGCATCTTCATGGAGACCACCTCCGTGGTCTAGTGGATAGAGCGTCTGCACGGAGACCGCCTCCGTGGTCCAGTGGATAGAGCATCTGCACGGAGACCGTCTCCGTGGTCTAGTGGATAGAGCGTCTGCATGTAGACCGCCTCCGTGGTCCAGTGGATAGAGCATCTGCACGGAGACCGTCTCCGTGGTCTAGTGGATAGAGCGTCTGCATGTAGACCGCTTCCAAGGTCTAGTGGATTGAGCGCCTGCACACACACACATACACACACACACACACACGCACACACGCACACACGCACACGCACACACACACGTGCAATAACCTTGAACGTAACGTTAAACCCCATTTCACCTCACTGATATTAGTCAGAACAATATTCAGTACATACAGGATACACCTGTGGGTTACCTGGTAGTGTAACATTCCTATATTCAAGTCATCTTTCCCTACTAACATTCTAGATAATGTATGCATGTGAATGTCACACCCAGGTATTAATAGGAAATAGCCAGGTGAACTGGCAAGGATGTCTTATGATTTATGAGTCGCTCGAAATAAAAATAAATAGCTGTATCAATCATTTATTTATATATATGAGAGTCACAGCTGGCTTCTTAAAATCACCGATAGTGATATAGACATAGAATATTTATTTAACGTTTTATTTTGTATAAGAGGGTCTATGTTACTTGCGAGAGACATGATAAAAATAAATTGTTTTATGTTTAATTTATTTCTTTTGCAGCTGCTTTTCAGTAGGGGCGTAATAAAAATTGTGTGGTCTTATTTACATAAATATTGAGACCTATTCTTTTTGCTGTTTCATTGGATTTACTCTTCCACTTAGAGCACATTCATTTTTAATATGTCATTCATGGATTTATTTTTTTGGTAAATTTATTATGGATTTGTACAGAATATGTGTTAACAGGTTAACAGAATGCATGACTGTGTATATTTGCTTCAAGTGCTTTTGTAAAATGACATAGTTAAGTGCCATCTTTGTACGATACAGGTAATAAACATACTAAACATAAGAAAACCAGTTTATTGTGTGTTGATTTGCCAAATTTTGAAATATGTTCAGTGTATGTCTTTGTTGTTTTAACCATTGCAGAGAAAAGGTCAATAGTGCCCCATGTTTAACAACCTAGGATTGTCCCCACCTTGAATTAGTCTTCAGTAACACGTTTAACTACCTAGGATTGTCCCCCCCTTAGAATTGGTCTTCAGTAACACGTTTATCTACCTAGGATTGTCACCCCTTAGAATTGGTTTTCAGTAACACGTTTAACTACCTAGGATTGTCACCACCTTAGAATTGGTCTTCAGTAACACGTTTAACTATCTAGGGTTGTCCCCCCCCTTAGAATTGGTCTTCAGTAACACGTTCAACTGCCTAGGATTGTCCCCCCCCCCCCCCCCCCCCCCTTAGAATTGGTCTTCTGTAACACGATTAACTACCTAGGATTGTCCCCCCCCTTAGAATTGGTCTTCAGTAACACGTTTAACTACCTAGGATTGTCACCACCTTAGAATTGGTCTTCAGTAACACGTTTAACTACCTAGGATTGTCCCCCCTTAGAATTGGTCTTCAGTAACACGTTTAACTACCTAGGATTGTCACCACCTTAGAATTGGTCTTCAGTAACACGTTTAACTACCTAGGATTGTCCCCCTTTAGAATTGGTCTTCAGTAACACGGTTAGCTACCTAGGATTGTCACCACCTTAGAATTGGTCTTCTGTAACACGTTTAACTACCTAGGATTGTCACCACCTTAGAATTGGTCTTCTGTAACACGTTTAACTACCTAGGATTGTCACCACCTTAGAATTGGTCTTCTGTAACACGTTTAACTACCAAGGATTGTCACCACCTTAGAATTGGTCTTCAGTAACACGTTTAACTACCTAGGATTGTCCCCCCTTAGAATTGGTCTTCAGTAACACGGTTAGCTACCTAGGATTGTCACCACCTTAGAATTGGTCTTCAGTAACACGTTTAACTACCTAGGATTGTCACCACCTTAGAATTGGTCTTCAGTAACACGTTTAACTACCTAGGATTGTCACCACCTTAGAATTGGTCTTCTGTAACCCATGCTTGTGAGAGGCACTAAGAGGAATGGGTGATCAGGCTCGCTGACGTGGTTGATGCATGTCATTGTATCCCCATTGCATCGATCGATGCTCAAGATGTCAGTCACTGGATTGTCTGGTCCAGACTTGATTGTCATACAGCTGAAATATTTCTGTTTGCGACAACAAGACCCACAAACCTAGAATGCCTGGCATCAGGATTATGGCATGGAAAGTTACTGATGTGCCTTCAGTCACTGGTTTGTCTGGTTGATTATTACAAGCTGGCATGATGTGGCTAGAATACTGCGGATATGAACTGGGTAAGAAAGTAGATGCTCATACATTTAGATCAAACAGCTCCAATGTATTGATCATCTGTCTTAGGTTTCCACTGGTGTAGGAAGGAAACGAGTGATCCTCTACTTACGAATGCGTGAATGCTGTACACTAAAGTCAGCCATTTTCAAGCTTTATCATGGTGGATCGTGTTTGGGAAACAGTGGTTAACTGCATGAGCAACATCCAACTCCATCGGAGTACGGTGACACGCAATCAAGGAACAGAGTCTCAAGACACTGAGTCTTTCCACCCACTCCAACAAGGCAAGGAAAACAAGGCATTACACAGTTTCCCCTAACGAGACACGTATGTGGGACATAACCTCAACGTCAATGTTGATTTTGTTGATGGTTCTGTACTGCTGGACGGTATAGAAATGAGTGTCAATCAAGTGAAGTGCCATATCAAATCGGCCCAGACTCAGTTTTTCAGGGAGAGGCTCTTTGAACGACCACTGCATCGAGTTTATGTGCAGTGTGTTAAGATGATCAGCAACCCTGCGGAGTCCTTTGCAGACTCGGTTTGCCTGAAAAGTGAAACAGAAGGCTTTCTGTTTGATGCTCAGGACCAGTCACTTCCCACTCGAAACTGTCAATTTGTGTAGTGGCTCGATCCTTTAATTATCGCCTTCGCCATGCTTGTGGTTTTGACACAGAGGTCCATCCATGGTACTGACGTAGGTTGTCTCTGGGGACTGTTTTGCCTTGTGTGGGCGAGGCCCCGTTTGCTACGTCACAATGACCAAGATAGTGGGGGAATTAACTTGGTAGAGCTGATTACTCTGCTTTCACCTTAAAACAAAGAGAAGGCTGCTGAGTCCCTTTACGTCTTTATTCGTCGCAGAGTCGAATTTCATAAATAGAGCGATATTTAAACAATATTACATTACAAGACAGATGCAGTCAATGACTTATCACATTAAATATATAATTGACAACCATACATGAATTGATAGCGACTGGTTTGAACGTTTCTTAACAGGATTGTTCTTACAAATATGGTACAAAAAGCGAATTGTGAATAGTAAGCGACTGGGAGGTATTTCATGTTATTCTAGTTACGACATTTCATACAGGAACTGATAACATTTTCATTTACGGCATTCGAGCTTTACTCATGTATTTACATACAAATGTATTTAACATACTGTATAATTTCAATGCCGTAAATGCTTAACCAAATGATAGACGTAGTATGGCCAATATTCGCATGAGACAGTATTTACGTGAGATTACCCACGGGTATTTAGCACAATGTACTCTTTCTCATGCTATGTAATGTACGGCTTTATCTATCACTTGGCATATCAACAGTTAATGTACAAGTGAACTAATCTACTAATATCAATAAAAACACACACAGATACAATTAACGTTCAAGTTGCTTTGCGGTATAATAAATGCAATATAACGCGTTAAGGATATGAAAACATGGTAAAATTTAGTGGCGTGTACAGGATATCATATAAGTTTAAGGCAAGGAAAATTTAACAAGAAATGATGTTATCTTACCTTAAAACAGAGAAGGATGCTGAGTCCCTTTACGTCTTTATTCGTGGCAGAGTGAAGTATCTGCCACTGGACTCCGTATATATAGGGACTCAGGCCTTCTGTAGAATTCGTTAGTTACCTAATATTGATACTATGATCTACATCTGCCACATGCGTGGTGTATTAATTACAATTATTCGACAGTTACGGAGCGCGGCGACCATGTAATATCCTTAATTTTCCACCTTTCTGATACTAAAATGACGACGCGTCCGGCCATACACAGCATGTTACAGCCTGGGGCATAACCCTATCGTGGCCGCCTGGCTGAGTCAGGTAGTCCACTGGTTTGTGACGGCCAGTTTCGTGCACGACAACTGACTAACATTATCTACAGAAATATATTCAGGTTTTGCTAGTTGTAAGATGAAAATATTGAGAAAAATACGAAACGTATTATTGAAATATGACCACAATAATAATGGGTTAATTATAGTGATTTTAGAACTATGACAATATCCCCCCGCTGTGGGAAGCCTTTGACTGCAAAAGCACAAAATATGTTACATGTAACTAGTGCTACTGAAAGATACAATATCCAAACATAATACAGGTATTGATACAAAAGGAATACAATATTTTGAGCAATAGTCTACCAAAGAGAACATGTTATGACAGAGTATTGTTCTGTTATGAGAACCACAAAAAGTACAACATATTGAAGCATAATACAATAGTTTATAGCAACATCTGGCTTAATAGAACATGTAGAGTATTGTTCTCAGCAGGAACTCGGCAAATTGAAAACTTTACTTGATGGAAGAGGTCAAATACATGTGTTTGTTTAGTTTATGGATGAGTAACAGTTCACACAACGTAAACTGTTTTTTATTAAGTTTAGAGTTTTAAATAGTTATGGGAAGGAAGGTGGCCAAATAGTGTCGATTTTGGAATATACACCATTATAACAGCATAATCTATAATAATAGATAACTGAAGCTGACAACTCAGAGAAGGTGAAGTGGGTTGATTAGTGTTGACAAGAGATGACATGCTACGAAAGTCAAAACATACAAATGAAGACTTGAGTCTATATCTATGTACCCACTGTAAAGGGAGGCAATTAGAGAATGAATTTCATGTTTTGTTTATATGTTCAAAATATTCTTCTATCAGAAACCACTATTTGCCTTGGTTATCCAATGTCCATCATGATAATCACAGTTTATGTGATCTACTCAACTCCAAAAATATCAACATTGTAAAGGCTTTGGCCTTATACTTAAATCATGTATTTAATGTGAAATAAGACTACTTGTATTTATTTTCCTGACATCACGTGACGCAGCAATTATTGTAATTGTAATTGTACTCTAGGCCACATGGCCCAAAATACTGAATAAAGAATCTTGAATCTTGAAACTTGAAATCTTGACAAGAGATGACATTTGCAACTATCATCCTTCTAGCACTTAATAACACAGGAGGCCCTGCAGGTTTGTCGACAACATCTAACTACTCACAATGAAACTAACTGCCAGGTTCTATCAAAGTCAAGGATAACTATATTATTGAAGATTACACAAAATATTTGTGTGATCGTTTGTGCTTATGACTGCACCCAGCCTGTGTTTTATGCACGTGGAAGTCTCTGATAGGTCCTTGTCCTATATTATGGTGTTGGATACGCAACCCATGTGATATCTTTGTACTTCAAGCATTTTTCGACATCATAGGATTGATCTTGATAGTGATCTTTTGTTTGCTTGTGATTGTGCTCTGATAACACGGTTGCATCTGCTTCTGCATTTGGCTTTTCACTGGAGACTGATGAGTCTAATGGAGGGCTGCCTTGCAAAGTTTGTGCAGGAGGGCCTGGTAACGGTTCCTGTGCTCTGCTGGTGTAGGTGCAGAAGAAGCTGATGAGTCAACATGCCGTGCAACATTACCTCTGAGGACATAGGGTGTCAGGCGATTGGCATGGACCAAAGATTTATGTTCTTTGCCATCTGAACATCTGTGAATTTTGAAGGTGTGGTTTGGACCAATGTCTGTGATATAATAAGGACCTGTCCATGATTGGGACAGCTTCGGGGAAAGTCCTTGTTGACTACAGGGCTGTGG